ATACTTTTTTTGATCATTGTATTGTTGATTATCATTCACGTCACATCGCTTCGGAATAGAAACCAGCTTAATTTACACTATGTTGTGTATTGTGCTTAAATTATGGATTGTATTCATCATTTCGGTCCATATAAATAATTATATGGCACCTACCTATATATCGCAGTACTGCGAGTTGACAACCCTTACAAATATCCCAATTTAACCCTTAACCGTGTCAATTTACCCCGGACGCTGGGTAAATTGGGACGGCCATTATTTTACCGATTATTTCTTTAAAATGAATAATTAAAATTATGTAACGGTTTTTATCACCTAGGTACGTTCAAGACTCAACTTATTTCTTTGGTTGAGCAGTGACTATTTCATTGGAACTATTTTAAAATTCAATCTGAAGGTCGATTTTGTCCCTATTTACCCCATTGTACGGTACCATGTATTTGACGCACACACGCATGCATACTATTTATTGTCAAACTTTTGTTCTTGACGTCTGTGGTCAAATTGAGAACAGATAGATTAAATATTGTTTGTCTTTGTTAATATTTTTTATAATGTAGTCTTGGCGAAATTTGTGATTATAGAAGTATAAAATACAATCATAATAGTGTACAAACTTACAATTCCAATTAATTATAGTCGAATTTCGACTACTGCGGGACTACTAGTCAAAATAAAAAAAAAACTTCAGCTATCTGAATGCAGTAAATATAATTGAAGTTTAATATAAAACATTGAACTGTTGATGCTAATACCAAATTAAACGCGCCTTTAATCACAAAGATAAAGGTAGCGTAGCGAAATTTCGCTTAAACTAAAGAGCCTTGCAACCTTCGCCTCGGTGTCAACAAAAAAAAAGATTTCAGTTTGCTATACAGGCGTATTTTATTTAGTTTTTTAAATTTAATATGTTATTTTAATGCTAAACATTAAATGCTAAGATAAAATTTAAAAGTTTTAAATACGCTCAAAAATTTAATTACCTACCTACACGAATAAAAAAACGTGTGCAATTCACACGTGGATGAAGTGAAACCTTCCAAAATTAAAATACAATTATCCTAAACGTCTTAAGTATATGTAAAATTTTGTCATTAGTAAATAATTGTAAGGTAGCGCCCTCTGTGAATTGATATTTTAATTTCACGTAGAATCCTAAATTAAAATTCACTACAAGAGCTTTCATACACACGTTAGTATTAAAAAAATCTCACAGATGGCGCTGTATTAAATAGTATGTATATTTCTGTCTCACTCTTTGCTGGCTTCATCCTACACATTTTTGTATTTGTGTCTCTTACCTGTCGTTTTTTCCGTTGCATCCGGTTTGAAATCACAACGATTCTAAAGAAGTTTTCACTTCAAAAATATTTTTTATTCTATTTAAACTTTTCGACGCGATGAAATTATCTAATTAATGACGACCTATTGGTTTCAATAACGTATTTAATAATTATGTATTTACTTACGATTACTTACTAAACAAATTTTCATCGATTGCTGAACAGAGCGAAATGATTTAGTTTATTAAAACTGCTTTAACAACTGCTTAAAACTTAAATAAAACTCCCGCTCAAGTACAACATGTACTGAAAATCGTAAAAGGATCCATTGTTACAAATCCTTCTTGCAATATTTTTTTTTTTACCTGTGAGATAAAAAGAGGCTATTTCAGCTTCGCCCTAGCATGTAGGTTAGCTAACGGGGCTCAAGCCTGACGATGTTGCTAACACGACCCACTGAGAAGATACGGCGAGAAACTCAGTGGGCTGTGTCTGTGGGTTAATTTACTCGTCGAGCCCTTCGTCGCAGGCGACGGGTTCGACGAGAACGATGACCGATGCTCGAGGTACCTAAAAGCACCGTTAGTGGATCGGGAGGATCTGAAATGACGTGTTTGGGGCGACGTCGACTGCTTTCCATTCTGTCCGCAGGATCGGGAATGTAGTTACCGGCTGCCACGATGAGAGGGTTTTCGTAACGTGCCGCTTTATCGAAGTTGCCGACTGTAGATACTTACTGATGGACTCTAGGTCCAGATCGTCATGTAAGTCGATGTTCCTGACGAACCGCGGGGCTCCGACGGCTATCCTGCAAAAACGGGATTGAGTAATTTGTAGGGATTTTAAGTTAGTGCGGGCCGCGTGAGCGAACACTACACTTGCATAGGTCATGACGCGGCGTATGCAAGTTTTGTAGTCACCTTATTTCTAAGGGACACTTTACTTCGCTTGCAAATTATCTGATAGACTCCATCTTTCAATAAATTGTAGGAGCCTGGTTTTGTGCACTTTTAAAATCACCACCCATATGGCAAAGGTGTTGAAATTTTACGGTCATCTTTCAAAAATTTGTTTTATCTGCGCGTTTAACAGTATTCAGTACCGTATTCATTGGACATTTGGCGGGAACGCGAGGAGTGAAGTTGTGTGATTTGTTTTATTTTGTCTATTTAGTGTTTCTTCAGGTTTAAATGTGTAATAATGGTGGTTTATTAACTGTTTAATATCTGTGAAAGTGCACAAATGTGGGAAAATGAAACAAAGCCGCTGGACGTAACTTCTCGGGATCCTCCAAAAAGTCCACTGAAAAAATCTTAGTAAATGACCACCATTTTACTTAGATTATATTTCATCCCATTTCATTTCATTTAATTTCAACCCAGTTAAATAATGTTTCAAATTAATCATCTTCATTTCATTTCACTCCATAATATCATTTTTCATAAAAATATGAATATAAATTAAAATAAGACATGACTTAAAGGTCTCAGTTATCAGGTCGTAAAAAATCAGTATTCATTTTGAGGTTAAGCGAACTGTCAATCGGGATACGGGCTGAAAAAGTTTCTAGCTGTGAGCGGCAAATTGCAATTCAAGAGCCCACCAAAAAAGCAAAGCAGTAGAGCAACTGGTTTAAGAATGTAGCGATCGCAAACGTAGTGGAAGTATGCTGAGTTGAACAATTTAATATTTTAACTTTTGGCGCCATCTTTGACGTTAGATCTTACGCTACGCGTTTCCGACTGACACTTTTTCATTGATCGAAGCTTTATTCATGCTTAACCTTCCCTAGCACCTCCACTTTCTATGTTTAAAACATAAATACCTACATAGTGTAATTGTTATTTTTAAGATACATTTTTAAGCTTGAGATTTAATAGACTTTAGAAGAGTGAATTGAGCATGTTTGAATAAACGATTACAATAAAATTTTCTGCGTTTTATTAGACAAAAGCATTGAACCTCTTTAGAACATGTATCTTCGTGGAAGAAAGAAAAAAAAACACGCGTGGCACTCGGGGACTGCCGTGGTAAAGCTATTTTTTATCAACTTATGCAATTAAAATTAGACAATAATAATTTAATATTAAAACAATATTATAATAAAACCACGCTATATTTATAAACATTAACTAAAGCAAAACATTAACTGTCCCTTTCACACTCATAAGCTAGACCGCGTGAGAGAGAGATGGGCAGACTTTTCATGATGCATGCAGTGCATCCATCATGAAAAGTGCAACACTACACAAGCGCAACGTGTTGAACGCGAGCTACATGGTAGGCAGCGGCTTGGCTCTGCCCCTGGCATTGCTGAAGTCCCTGGGCGACGGTAACCACTTACCATCAGGTGGGCCGTATGCTCGTCTGCTTACAAGGGCAATAAAAAAAAAGGCGGAGTGGGGGATGTTAGGTTTTATTTTCGTTACTGAATTTCTTGTTTCGGTCGCCGCGCTCAAAGCCCGCGATAATTATTATTATTAAATTCTTTATTTCAGATAATGATCCATATAAATGTTAGTAACAGTTATTTCTTAAAAATAAGTTAGTAAGGACACAGTAATAAAAGAAATCAACAACATACATACTACATACGATTGCAATAGCTGCATTACGAGAAAATTTTGTGGACCTCTCTGCAATGATTCAGAAAAGGTCCATCTAACCTAGAGAATACCATGGCCAGGATGCTGTTGGAGCTAGCCCCTACCCTGCAGAGCAAGGGCGCGCATTGCTTTCTTAATAACCTGATGCCGAAAATTTCAAATAATTTCTGGTTCACAAAATAAATAACTAAAACTATTACGGTGCCTTAAGCGTGTAGTAATGGCAACTTATTAATCGTTGAGGATCCGTGGAAGTGCACAAGTATGGGAAAGTGAGAAATTCCCAGAACGTGGCTTTTCAATTTCAATATATTAAGGTCAATTGAAGGTCAGTCTCACAATTTTACTGGGAAAGTATTTAATTCCATCTTGACTCATCTAATTCCATTTTATTTCGTTCAATTATAATTAATGGCTTTCATATTAATCAACTTCTATCATTACGTACTATTTCTTAAAGATAATAAATATATAATAAATAAATAGACACAACACTGGCAATAATGGCATCATAAGAAGCCAATTCCTCCTCGTATTCCTCACGGCTGAGGATTGTGACCACCCTTTTGTATCACCTTCACCAAAAGAAGCCAATTAACATACTGAAAAATACAAAAGTAATTTACATAAGAAACGTGCTTAATACAAGTCTTAATCGGCTTTAATAAAAAAAAACTTAACTGGAAAAAAAATTTTACTGGATTAAAAAGACGATGTATAAGTGTTAAATCAAGGAAAAAATATCACACACGAATTTACTATTAAATAGGTACTTAGTCATACTCTTTATGCTACTTTTAAATGATTATTACAAACAGTTTTAAAATTTCGCGGCTATTTGCATTTAACATATTTAATTTAATGTCTAGACTATCCATGATCATGGCATTTGCAACACCGCCGAAATATCGGAAACTCATTAGAAATCAAAAATCATTGTAGAACCTGTTAATTACTGTTAAATAATGATGCCTGTAATGTATTTTTAACAGACTGAGCAATGACCTTAGTCTGTGGATTTTAGTAGAGTAGATTTCATTGCTAACATGAAAAAAAAAATCATCATTCCAAGATTTTGACAGGAAATTTTTGCTAATGTCAACAAAGCGACACAAGAGATCGCGTCAACTGCGTAAGTTACAATAAACCAAATTTAAATCCTATTACACACAATGGCGCTCGATTCTTTCGACGAATTGATCGAATTCCTGAAACCAGAGTCCAGGATAGACTTGAGACACATATCCATGGACTATCTCGTCAGCCTATCGGGGACGGAAGACGGTGTTAACAAAATGCTTGAACACGAAAGAATCACTCAAGCCGTCATCGAATTAACGGACGACAGAATCAAAGAAATCGCTAAACACGCACTCCTGATGCTCGTTAACATATCTGCCTACACGCGTGGCGCTACAGAGCTTCTCAAATACAAGCCATTGCGCTATAAAAACATAATCGACCTACTCATTAGCTACGTATTGAATCCTAACAAAACTGACGCAGATGCCGCCTGTATGACCCTGTCGAACATCACGCGACTCGAAGACGAGCTGGAAGTCTGCCTGAACACTTTTATACCCCATCTAAACGATATCATGAACGCATTCGTGAACACAGAGTTTAACAAGACCGGTTCGAACCTGCATTACCTGGCGCCCATGTTTAGCAACCTGGCCTGCAGCCACAGAATAAGGAAGTGGCTCTGCGAAGAGAATCCCCATGTACCGTTAATAAAATTAATACCGTTCTGTAACTATGATGTGTCCAACATACGGAAGGGTGGTGCGATCGGTACAATACGTAATATATCATTTGACACAGACTACCACGAGTTCCTAGTGAGCCCGGACTTGGATCTGCTTACATACATTTTGTATCCCTTAATGGGCAACGAAGATTATCCTGATGACGAAATGGAAACACTCCCTGTTACTTTACAGTATTTACCAAAGGAGAAGCGGAGAGAGCCTGATATAGACATACGTATTCTGATACTGGAGACACTGAACAAATTGTGTGCTCAACGTAGAGGCAGACAGTATTTACGCGAGAACGGAGTGTACTATATAATGAGAGAATATCATAAATGGGAAAAAGACCCGAAAGCTTTGATAGCGTGTGAGAATGTAGTGGATATACTGATTCAGAAGGAAGACGAGGTCGGTGTGGAGGACCTGTCAACAATAGAAGTACCTGAGGAATTGAGGGAAAGATTCAATAAAACCAATAGTGATTTTATGATGAATCTGCAATAAAGAATTATTAAACTAATTATTTTGTCTTTTTAAGTCCAATTAGATGCCTAAGGCGGAGAATGCTGTCTTAAGTCTGACGTCCATTCGAGCACTTAAGGGTTTCTATTGAGCCTCCCGTGTTGATTTTATCTTTGTGTTTTATCAATTGTTCAGATACTTCCGTATAATTGATCCATTCAAGAATTAGTTTCTGTGTGACTGAAAACTATATTGAAATATGGCTGAATCTTTGGCTGGTAGAAATTGCCTTAAACGTTAAGTCCCATGTAGATAAATACAAGAAGTGTAATTTAAAAAAAAAACAAGTCTGAACTGGATCTTGTAATTACTTTCATAGTAGATAAGATATGTATGTAAAATAATGCCAACTTATGCAGAAATGGACTATTTGGAAACACTTGTTTTTACTAAATTTTAATTGCTTCAATTTTCAAATCAAATTATACACATATAAGCTAATGATAGTATAAAAGTTTATTTTTATTTATGGCCCATGTTAAGATTACAGAAACTGATGCATGTTATAGCTGTTACTTTTTTCAAATTTTTGTAAGCAGAATTGAAGTGGTTTAATCCAAAATTCATGTTTTCTGGTAAATTCCAAAAATGCAATTAATGAATTGCTGGTGGTAGGACCTCTTGTGAGTCCGCACGAGTAAGTACCACCACCCTGCCTATTTCTGCCGTGAAGCAGTAAAGCATTTTCCTTAAAAATTTTAGTGAGGCCATTTCAATCATGAAGGTGCGAAATATTGAGCTTATTACGATTTAAATGGTCGTACGTAGCAAAATGGAAAATTTAGGTACCACTTCAGTGTGCTTAGTGCGATAGTTAATTAACATTCTGTTTACGTTAACGTAAAAGTGAACTCAAATTTGTATGCAGTTGGAACAGCGCCCCTAGCGGCAAACGTAGGCAAACATTCTAACTCCATACAAATTTGAGTTAACTTTTACGCTATCGAGAACGTTAAAAAACTCGCACTAAGCATACAATATAAATGGAGAGATAGCTGTAATACGAATAAAAATAATCGACAAACAAAAAAACGTTTTATTATTATATATTTATGTTCTAAATCAATTCACTGGCTCGGTTTCCTGATAGTCGCTGCCACCTCAATGACGGCAGCACTGAAGGTCGTGGTCATTCTGTCATTGCAATGAACAAGTTCAGTCTTTGTCTAGAATAGTCTCTGGTATATCTAAATATATCAACATGTCTTCGGCATGCTGCAGTAAAACAACACCTGAAAGTGTCTAGTCCACGACTATTTTCAAACCTCGTAGGAAAATGAGCATCTGCCCTCAACCTACCGCCACCCCGCCTATTCCTGCCGTGAAGCAGCAATGCGTTTCGGTTTGAAGGGTGGGGTAGCCTTTGTAACTATACTGAGACCTTAGAACTTATATCTCAAGGTGGGTGGAGCATTTACGTTGTAGATGTCTATGGGCTCCAGTAACCACTTAATACCAGGTGGGCTGTGAGCTCGTCCTGCCATCCAAGCTATAAAAAAATAACCCCTACCTATTAAGACGATGGAACGATAGCTTAATACTCGAGAACAATCATCACTACGCTCTTCGTCAAAGAAGAGTCGATAAACCTGAAAAATAAAAAACCCTTTTGTGCACATTAGCTTCTTTTTTCAGTATTTACTCGCTTAGGTATCTTTAGACTTTACATACGGTTTTTCTCTGGTATGTATTTTTAGATGCGATTTCATATCACTATTTCCTAGACTTTATTGACTTTAATACGCAAAACTTACATCTCAAGTTCTATTTTGGATAGATGGATATATTTCGGATGTGTGACAGATGAAAAGAGCATTAAAGTGCCTACTTTTTCTGCTTCCTGGTGGCAAATTAATAGAAGAACTATGTACTGTAATAATGTAAAGTTCATTCAAATTAAAACTTAGGTATTTGAACAAGCTAAACATAATCAAACAGCAGTAGGTATGTACCTACCTACCTAGTACTACCTACACGATTATTTGTGTTCCTAGGCCTAGGTGTCATAGTATCATGCAACTATCATGCCCCTGAATGAAATGGCATTTGGCTTAGACATGTGTAAGTAATGCGAGTGATATTACTCGGGTAATATTACTCTACGATGTAATGCAACATCACACATTACGCGAAGGAAACAAACATCACACTATCACCCAACATGTTTCTTTCTTTGTCGTGTAATGTTGCTTAATACACGAACGGAACCGAGCGAGCGAGACAGACCGATCGACGCAAAATAAATGAGCAAGCGACACGGAATTATTCCTAGTGATTTTGAACCGTATGTCCTGGCCGCTAGGTACATTTTTATACCTATGGTACGTCTGAATTTTAATATAGGTATTTGTGTTTATATTTTTCATGCGGCCAGCCGGTAGTTCCCCGCAAGTACTTACTTAATTTTTTATTCGCAACTTTTGTAAAATCGCTAGTCGCTCGTAATTGTTTAGTAATATTTCATATTAATTTTTGTGTTTGATTTGAATTACTTAAGCACTTGTTTGAAGATAGTTTTATTATTTGTTTTAATGCGTGTTTAATAAGTGAAAGAAATAACGGCGTCTAAATGAAAGTACAGTCCTCCTTGGATGCACTTTGAGGATATCGCGCCGAAACAATGCATCTACTGCTCTCGTATATTAACATTATTGTCGAGCTCAATTTGCAGTCTAAGTCGCCATATGAAATCCGTTCATCCCACAATAAATTATATTAAGTAAAAAATAAAATTATTATATTATTAAGTAAGTCAATCTCTGTCAAGTAATATAACAGTGTATTACAATACAAAGTTCATACTTTGTATTGTAATACACTACTGTAATGACACACCCGAATCATTACCTAAGTGATGTGTTGATACACATCACTTAGGTAATGATTCGGGTGTATAGATACAATGTATTCGTCGTCACAGTATCTATTGAACGCACCGAGTAATGTTAAGAGTGATGTGTAATGTTTTCGAGTAATATCACCTGTCTGTAAAAGTGATGTCATATCACATTACATTGGGAAGTGATGTTTTGCGCAAGTCTAATTTGGCTAAGTGTATTATCTATGGTGTGGCTTGTTCATTAGACCGGTAGAGGGATCTGAGCCCATACAGCTCTTTCATGACAAAGGCAGCGGTTTCTTGATGAACGCATGACAACGAACATGTTTATGAAAATTAATACAATGAAGTTGAACCTCACCGCTAAAAAGGAGTCATTTACTAAGAGTTGAATGAATTTTTAGAAAGAACCCTGTTGGATATAGTTTATACGAAAAAGATGTCACATAATTTCCATACATAAGAATCTTGTTTCTAGTTTTTGATGTTAACGTTTAGTTTATTGAAAATAAAGAACATTACAACATAATAACATCTTGTTTCATAATCTATTGGAATTAAATATCGAAATAAAATCCTTTGATCAGTAATTACCTAATAAATAAATAAAAACTTCTCATATAAAAAATTTTTTTTATTTCATTAAATAGCACATTTTATAAGCATATGCATTATAAATACATAGTACTACATATGAGTCGTCTATTATCAAAGGTGGCAATCTGTGCATTTGGACAAAAAAATGTTATTGATATGTCAATACAGATTGATTTGAATATAATCGTCTCCTTCAAAGAATACGGTTCAAAACCTGCATTAAATAAAGGTTAATACTTAACCTGTTATTTATCTAAGATGTCGTTCAGAACAGTTTTGTGACTGCCAATGGAATACAAAGTCAATAATTCGTTTTTCTGATTTACCAATAATTGTCCAAAAGTCACATTGCCGGCTTTGATAATAGTCGACTCNGAATATAATCGTCTCCTTCAAAGAATACGGTTCAAAACCTGCATTAAATAAAGGTTAATACTTAACCTGTTATTTATCTAAGATGTCGTTCAGAACAGTTTTGTGACTGCCAATGGAATACAAAGTCAATAATTCGTTTTTCTGATTTACCAATAATTGTCCAAAAGTCACATTGCCGGCTTTGATAATAGTCGACTCATATGTAGGTTTATTAGTTGGACATTTTTTTGTTTCTCCTGAACTTTTCTCATCAACTTTTTGTGTTGTTACACTATTTTATCGGAGCTACGATATTATGATATATATATATATTTTTGCTTAAGGCCCACACGATGTTAAATGGTAGCCGGAGCCCAGTCTACTGGAACGTAAATTCCACTACCCACCTTAGGCGAGAGGTCTAAGATCTCAGTTTTAACAGTAGAACAGCTGCCTCAACCTTCAAACTGAAACCCATTACAACTTCACAGCGAAATAGGCCGTGTGGTGGCACCTACTCCTAAACTCCCAAGACTTCCTGCTCTCAGAACACATTATTTAGCTAGTCAATGATACATATACTCAGAAACATTTCCAAATAATCTAATTATGCAAAATCTTTTCTATACACTACACATACATGTTTGTCTGCAGTACCTACATAATAATATGTGTGTTCTTAAACTACTAGTGGAAAGCATTTTTCACATACATCACAAATAGAAAGTTTCACTGAGGTATGTGTTAGTAAATGTCTTTTTCAACTATGAATTTGTCTAAAACCTTTTTTATGTTTATCACAAACTCAGGTTTTTCTGCATTGTGTATTATCAGAAACATTCTTAAATTACCAATTTGTTCAAAGCCTTTATTACAGATTTCACAAACACGGTTTTCCTCAAGTATGTATTCTCATGTGTGATTTTAAATTACTAATTCTAGAAAAACCTTTTTTGCACAATTCACAAAAATAAGGTTTTTCTCCAGTGTGTGTTCTCATGTGTGTTCTCAAATGACTAATATGATTAAAACCTCTATTACACACTTCACAAACAAAAGGTTTCTCTCTTGTGTGTATTCTTAAGTGTGTTTTTAAATGATACAGTCGTGCAAAGCCTTTCTCGCAGACTTCGCAAACATAAGGTTTTTCTGCTGTATGTGTCGCCATATGTGTTTTTAAATAATCAAATAATGCAAATTGTTTTTCGCACACTTCACAAACATAAGGTTTTTCGGCAGTATGTGTTCGTAGATGTTTTTTTAAATAATAAATGCGTGCAAAAGCTTTTTTACAGACTTCACAAACAAAAGGTTTCTCTACAGTATGAGTTATCATGTGCGTTTTTAAAGTACTCATCATTGAAAAGCCTTCTTCGCACACCTCACAAATATAAGGTTTTTCTCCAGTATGTGATCTTAGATGTATCATTAAACCAGATAGGTATGCAAACCCTTTTTTGCACATTTCACAGATGTGAGGTTTTTCAGCAGTATGTATGATCATGTGTGTCTTCAAATTACCAACATGTGCAAAAGATTTCTCGCACACTTCACAAACATAAGGTTTTTCTCCGGTATGTACCCTAAGGTGGACTTTTAAATGACAGATTTGTGAAAACGCCTTTGTACATATTTCACAAATGTAAGGTTTTTCTGCAGTATGAATTCTCATGTGTTTTTTTAAAGTATCAATTCGTGTAAAACATTTTTCGCACACTTCACATATGAAAGGTTTCTCTGCGGTGTGTACTCGCAGATGTTTTTTTAAAATATCAATTTTTGAAAAGCAATTTTTACATACTTCACAAACATACGGTCTTTCTCCTGTGTGTGTTCTCATATGTGATTTGAAATGACCTAAATGCGAAAAACATTTTTTACAGACTTCACAAATATAAGGTTTCTCAGTTGTGTGAATATTTGTGTTTAAATTAAAAATAAAAAAACTTGATTCACACATTTTATCAAAAGGGAATGCCCTAAGTTATTACGTTTTTATATAAAAACAAAAGCAAGTAATTCCTCTAGTAATAGTGTGTAATGTTTTTTGTGATTTGGGTTTTATTCTCTTACAAACTGTTTAAATTTTGATTTGATCACCACTGTGTTCGCATGTCGGATCACTGTCTGTGAACTGATGGGTAAATTAGCAGTTGACTTTGTTGGGTACCTGATTAATCTGCAACACACTGAAATGCAGAGTTTACGTCACTTTCTCACGGCCAGCACTTATATATGTCTCCCCGATTTCCTTCTCGTGTCGTTTTCTAAAATCAACCAAGTTAACAGCCAACCAAAAGTCACCAATCGAGTAGCATTACAACTAGTGAAGTATCCAATGGAACGTTGGACGAAAATCTCACAGAACATTTGCTTCCTGTGTTAGATACTCAGTTTTACGTTAATAGTCTAGTCTAATGGTTTATAAGACTTCCTTGTGTATATATATTTTTCAAATAGAGTCGAACTACTGAAAAAGGATCAATTGAATACGAGTTGAATACTTTTTTTGATAGAGCTCTAGCCGCCAAGTCCAGCGCCTTTCCAACATTTCCCCACACTTGTGCACTTCCACAGTTGTTAAACTTTTTCAATTTGTCACCTTTATTGGATACTTTAACCAGTACAAACAGTAAATGATGTTATTGAAACAATTCACTCGTTCAAGCCTCGACTCCTCTGATTTTTATTTTTTAATTATTTTTTTATGGCATCACGCTGTGCGTATTGCCACAGACAAAAGTAAGGAAAGAAAAGCGCGGGAAACGTCGAAAGAGCGGGAGTGTCTTTTACAATTTAAATTTTGAAAATATCTTTTAAAAATCAGATAGGTGTAAAGTAGTGTAAATATTTGTTATTTTAGTTCTTTTTAGGTTATATTTTACAGTTAGTGTAAATATTTCTTCGTAGGGTAAATTTTTTATTTATTTATTTTGTTTTCCCCATGGGGGACGAACCTCCCGATCCTGGGGGCACAGTCCCACAGGTATCTCATGATGTCACAATTGAGCATTGTGAATCTTCCATGGATACGCATGCAAGTTCTATAAATAATGCAAAACTACTGAGAAAACGCACAGTATTTATGGCCAGATTAAGTATATTAAAGGCATAGAAAGAAAGAAAGAAAGAAAGAAAATCTTTATTCGCCAGAAATATAGTTTACAAGATATAGGACATAGCTTCATATATTTCGCCTGTTTAGGCATGCGAAAATTTAATTTATTTTTATATTAATTATAACACAAAATTTACTAAATCTATCTATTTTTACATTCTATCACTTCTTATTCTAATATTTTATTATGTACAACACTTATCATTTAAAAATTCTTGCACACTATAATAAGCCTTGTCTATTAGCCATAAATATAATTTTCTTTTAAATTGAGTTAGTGGAAGATCTCTTAAGCTGTTTGGTATCTTATTAAATATTCTGATAGTCATAGGATAACAGTTTGTATGGTAGTAACGAGTATTTATACTTGGTAACATTAGTTTAGTAGGGTATCTTGTATTAAATTGACAGTACTCGCCACACGATTTATATAATTGTGGGTGCTTTTTAACAAACAAACAACATTCTTGTATATATATGGATGGTACAGTTAAAATATTATGTTTTTGGAAGAATGGTTTACAAGAAGTCAGAGGATGAATATTGCACATGGCACGAACACATTGCTTTTGTGCAATGAACACTCTATTTATGTGACTAGAATTTCCCCAGAGGGGTATACAGTATCTGATATTTGAGGCGACATATCCATGATAGGCCTGTAATGCAGTTTTTAAATTACATATTTTTGTAAGTCGCCAAAGTGCATATGAGAATCGATTAATTTTACTACAAGTAATATCTATGTGAAGATTCCAGCTACATTGATTATCCACATTTAATCCTAAAAATGTTATGCTATTACATTCATTTAGTGTGTTATTATTATAAGTTATATTTAAGTTATTAATAAATTTGTGTCTATTATAGAATTGTATATATCTCGTTTTGTCTAAATTAGCTTTTAAGTTATTCTTATTCATCCAATCTATGACCTTACTAACAGTAGCATTTATCTCATCATTTAAATCTAGTGTGGCATCTTTGGTGATTACAACGGCTATATCATCAGCAAATAAGCTGCATGGGTAATGTATGTGTTCTGGGAGATCATTTATATAAATGATAAAGAGTAGCGGTCCTAAAATGCTCCCTTGTGGGACACCTACTTTATTATACGCTAATGAAGATTTAAAAGCCACTTCTTCATTGTTATTATCAATATCCCTAATTTCAACATATTGTTGTCTGTTGCTTAGATAACTACTAAGCCATTTTTCAGCTATCCCTCTAATGCCATAATTATTACACTTCCGTAAAAGAATGTTATGGTCAACAAAGTCAAAGGCTTTGGTCATGTCAAAGAAAACTCCAACCGTGGGTATTTTTCTGTCTACATTTTCAGTAATTTTACTAATGAGTTTAAAAGCTGCTAGTGTAGTAGATTTGCCTTTTTGAAAACCGTGTTGTTCAGATTTTATAACTTCAGATTTATTAAGAAAAGTTGTGAGTCTAGAATGCATGATTTTTTCGAATATTTTTGCAAGTATAGGTATTAAAGTAATCGGTCGGTAGTTATTGATGCATTCCTTATGTCCTTTTTTGTATATAGGTTTCACTATTGAGATTTTCAATTTATCAGGAAATGTACCTTCGGTTAATGAAAGAGAGAGTTACTATTTTAATAAGTGTTGTAGGTACTTATTAACTCCATGATTAAAGGTAAGTCTCAGTTGTTATTGGTTTTACTGTTTTTGATAAAATAAAAATACATGTAAAAATCTGTTGTTTTTGGGGATATTGGGGACATCTCAAGTACAAATAACAACAAAAAGGGGTCAATTGGGATGAGAATAAGTAAAATGGAAACGACTTAAGTATTAATAAGTACACGTTTGTAGGGTTGTCTATGTAGTTATAACAATATTTTTTAAATTCGTTGCTAAGAATATGGTTTATTTATGATGTTTTTGTCTAGAACTTTTATTCAAAATTATTAATGCAGTGTTATTTTATTCTTTGGCAAATATTTATATTTTTTATTTTTGTTGTCAATGCACTGTCGATTGCACCTATTATTGAGGTGACATCGGCCATGTGCTTTTGTCAGTTTTTCAATGTTTTTTATTGATGATCATTTTGTTGGTGCAACTAAATAAATAAATAAATTAAAACCAAAGTGTGCCAGCCCTAGCAAATTTATTAACACTAATTACGTCCCCAATAACCGGAATTTTTGGGTAAATAGGGATAGCACCTATTTTTGCATTTTTTGCTTAAACTGGAATGCTAGTTGAAAAGCTTTAAATTGGATAACAAAGATAGCCCAAGACTCAATCATTTTGATCCTGATATAGCATTTTAAACATCAACAACTACCATAAAATTGTTCATCAAGTTGAAATTTGTCCCGAATCACCTTTACCTTCCACCACATTTCCTATAATAAATGTCATATTGATAACTTCCCACTACTAGGGCCCATCTAACCAATCGGTTATTGGCTAGTTTAGGAAGGTTGCGGTGTGCTCCCATAATATGTATAAGAGGCTTATGGTCCGTAACTAGATTTCGTTCCTCTCAAGTACTGATCAAATTTTTTTATACCAAATACTATTGCTAAAGCTTCACGATCAATAACGGAATATTTCATTTCCGCTGGTCGTAGTTTCCTTGAAGCAAAAGCAATTGGTTGTTCTATGTTCGAGTCCTTGTGGAATAATACTGCACCCAATCCCTTTTCGGAAGCGTCACATGCTAAATAAAGGGGACGTTTCNCAAATACTATTGCTAAAGCTTCACGATCAATAACGGAATATTTCATTTCCGCTGGTCGTAGTTTCCTTGAAGCAAAAGCAATTGGTTGTTCTATGTTCGAGTCCTTGTGGAATAATACTGCACCCAATCCCTTTTCGGAAGCGTCACATGCTAAATAAAGGGGACGTTTCTCGTCAAATGCAATTAATGGTTGTGAAGAAGTTATGCATTTCTTTGTATCTTCAAATATTCTGTTTTCATGATCAGTCCAACGCCATCTATTTTTTTCACTAGTTACATCATGAAGATCCGAACAAATCCCGTGAAGATGTGGTACAAACCGTTCGTAAAAGTTAACTAGTCCTAAAAATGATCGTAGTTCTTTTGCATTACACAGTGCTGAGGCCTTAGTTATGGCATCAATTTTAGATTTGGTTGGGTGGATGCCATGTTTATCTATTATGTGACCTAGGTATTCAATCTGATTCTGTAAGAAATTACATTTCTTTAAGTTAACTTTTAGGCCGGCGTTTTGTAAGCGATCGAATAAAATAAATAAAGTTTGTAAATGTTCTGAAATATCTTTCCCTGCTATACCTATGTCGTCAAAATATACAGCTACATTGATATCGCCTAGCAGTTGATCCAGAAAATGTTGGAAAATTGAAGGAGCAGTCGATATTCCAAAAGGCATTCTATTTTATTGGAAATACCCTTTATGGATTGACAACGTCAAGTACTTTTTCGAATCTGGTGCTATTTCAAATTGTAAGTATGCGTCTTTAAGGTCTATTTTTGAAAATAATTTACCGTTTGTGAGATTTTGGCGTAGTTGATCGAAAATTGGAACTGGGTGTAGATATTTAATAAGTACTGGATTAAGCATAGTTCTGTAGTCTCCACATATCCTAACTTCCCCTGTAGATTTCAGAATGTTAACTGTGGGTGTAGCTCATTCAATAGGTGTAATATTAGGATCTACTTTTTCCACTATCCCTTCTGAGATCAGACGATCTAACTCCCTTTCTATATTCTTTTTCATGCTGAATTCTATAGGCCGTGCAGGAAGGTGGATCGGTTCAGCTTCTGGTTTGACATGTATGTTTACGTAATAATTGTTAACTTTTCCTAGTGTTCCATCAAAGAGTTGTACATGTTTATCCAATATTTGTTTAAGAGTCATCGGTGTTGATGTTTTGATGGAGTTTACTGGTTTTGGAAATTCCATTTCAAAAACGTCACTCCAATGTAAACCAAATAACATTGGTTTGGCATTTTTCATTACGACCACAGGTAGAAGTTTTTGCAGTCCGTCGACTTCGACTGTTACTTTTGTAATTCCCTTTGTTTTTAAGTTTGTGTTACCGTAGGCCTTAAGTTTCGGGGCGGGTTGTAAAGATGGTGATCTTAATTTTTTGCATAATGTCGTCTTTATTATTGAATACGCAGAGCCGGGGTCCCAATCCATAATGCAAGGTATGTCATTGATCCGTACATCGATTTCTTTGCATTCTCTCTTACGTTTTTTTTTTTTTTTTTTTTTATTGCCTTTGTAGGCAGACGGGCATACGGCCCACCTGATGGTGAGTGGTTACCGTCGCCCATGGACTTCAGCAATGCCAGGGGCAGAGCCAAGCCGCTGCCTACCGCTTAATACTCTCCACAAGCCTCGTTTGAAGAAGGACATGTCATAGCGCTCGGGAAACACCGCGGAGGGGAGCTCATTCCATAGCCGGATGGTACGTGGCAAAAAAGATCTCTGGAAACGCACTGTGGATGACCGCAGTGGCTCCAGGTAGTATGGATGAACTCTACTCCGGTGGCGGGNGGAAGGGATAGAACTGGCTCTCCAACCCACACGCCGGAACACAGCTAGGCTATTTGGCGGCGGACTCTAGTTGGAGGGTGGTCGCCAGCCAGTCGGACTAGGTCCTACCACCGGTTATGTTTTCGGCTCCCGTTTAGCACCACCCAGGGGTCACTTGTAGGGAATCGCGGGTTAAACCTACGGAAGCGGGAAGCACCAACCCCCAACGTGTACCCAAGACGCTGCAGATAACTTCGTCATCGCTTTCTTCCTCTTTACTGATAGATGATGATGATGATGTTGAGGACTTATGATGTCTTGTTATTTTTTTAATTGATTTTTGGCTCCCTTTTGTATAGCTGATGTATGCCCGTCCAGACTGAATGCAACAACTCTCAAAGTGTGCCTTCGTGTTACATTCTTTACAAATATGGTCCTTGGCTGAACACTGTGATAGGCTGTGCCGTTCTTTCTTTCCACAGCGTAAACAATGCATTGGATTTAATTTTCGTGTTGTATTTTGATGTAATGGTACGGTTTTGGTTTTGCTCCTCTTTATTTTTTTAATACTTGTTCGTGGTGTGTCTTGTTCTGTCTGTTCTCTTGATTGAGAGATTGTAAAAATTTGTTGAAAGGTTACTTCTCTTGGTATTCCGTCTACCATTTGAATTAAATCAGGCCATTTTTGTTTTAAGTCGGTTTCTAAATCTGGATGATTCAATCCAGTGGCAAAACGGTCACGTAATTGTCGTTCCAGGAAGTCATTAGTGTAGCCACAATCCCGACTAAGACTTTTTAATCTGTTTGCATAGTGTTCCATCGTTTCATTTTGTTCTCTAGAGCAATTCCAAAATTCTGTTAAGGCTCTATATCTCGTCGTTTTTATGCGATAGAGGTCTAATAATTTGTTACAAATTTCGCTGTATGTAGCTATACCGAAATCAGGCGTTAAAGCTACTTTTAATTCGTGGAATATCTTGGTGTTAGTAAATTCAGAAGCAAATCTTTCTGTAAGTCGCTGTTATTGATATCAAGAATTTTGCATTTGTTTTCGAAAAAATCAATGTAATCGTCAATTCTGAATGTATCTGGGTTGTATTTAATTTTATCCATATTGAAATTTTTTATTATTGTTGCAAATGATGTGACAAAAAAACCAGCAGCGTAACGATAAGTTCTTTTATTTGTGCGAGAAAGCAGAAAGCAGGTAGAAATGGCTGGCACGGCTTGTTTTATTAACACTATCCCCCCTTCGTTGGCTTTGGCTGGCGGTGGCGGCGGTGGCGGTGGCGGAAGGGGGCGTGTTAACATGGCTTGGCGGCTTGGCTGGCGGCAGGGCATGACAGCTGACGTCACGTCCGTTACATTATACTTATCTTGTTATCCGTATCATGTTTTGTAAAAGACATGTTCGTTCGTCACGCTCTTGGCTGTTGTATTGCAAGCTGCTGGTACCAACAACTACAAGATTTGTAAAATCTGCTCTTGCTGATTTTGTTGTGCATGTAAAAATAATGCGAATTGTTCATCGTTCATCTTAATTTATTGTAACTCGTCACCAATATAATAAAACAATGTTTCCAAGACATAGCATAAAAATATAATAAGGTTACAACAGTTTGGTGGGGAATTAGCTACGAAGGAGTGACTGAGCCATACTTTTGTGAAAAAGGTATCAAAACATCGGCACAAGTGTATCAAGATACCATTCTTGAGAAGGTAGTGAAGCCCCTTAACAACACCATGTTCAATAATCAAGAATGGTCCTTCCAGCAAGACTCAGCGCCAGGTCATAAAGCTCGGTCTATGCAGTCTTGGTTGGAAACGAACGTTTCGGACTTCATCAGAGCTGATGACTGACCGTCGTCTAGTCCCGATCTTTATCCGCTGGATTATGATTTATGGTCCGTTTTAGAGAGTAAGGCTTGCTCTAAACTCCATGATAATTTGGAGTCCCTAAAACAATCCGTACGATTTGCAGTAAAAATTTTCCCATGGAAAGAGTGCGTGCTTCTATTGATAACTGGTCTCAACGTTTAAAGGACTGTATTGCAGCCAATGGAGACCACTTTGAATAAGCTTTTTATACTTTAAATTGTTTTATATTTATGTATTAAACTAACACACTTTAAAAGTAATAAACGTTATTTGCTATAGATTTTTTTTTGTTTTCCTTTGTAACAGTATTTATGGCCAGATTTAGCTAGATAACACACTATTGAAATTGATATAGTGCCATTGTGTATTAAACATCTTTACTCGTCTCTTACGAGTCAAGAACTATTCCGTACTTGAACTAAACATTTCGTGGAAGAGACGTAGCCGAAGAGTTACAGAGCCGCGCGTTGCCGACCACTGTTCTAGACTAGTCTTGCCTATATCGAAAACGTTCTTGGCGCCATTAGAACACTCTCGATATATAACTAGAATATTCGAGAATGAAAAAATAACGACACCATTGATAAGAATTTCCTTTTAAACACAACACGAACATAAGGTGTCTCGGCGGTCTATATTCTCAGATGCACTATTAAATAGTCCTACTGGTGGTATGACCCCTTGTGAGTCCGCGCGGATATGAACCATCGCTCTGCCTATTTCTGCCGCGAAGCAGTAATGCGTTTCGGTTTGAAGGGTGGGGCAGCCGTGGTAACTATAGTGAGACCTTAGAACTTATATCTCAAGGTGGGTGGCGGCATTTACATTGTAGATGTCTATGGGCTCCGGTAACCACTTAAAACCAGGTAGGCAGTGAGCTCGTCCACCAATCTCAGCAATAAAAAATATCTATACGTGCAAAACATTTATTATTAACTACATCAACAAGGTTTTTTCTTCTCCAGTGTATATTCTAAGGGGGACTTATAACAGACAATTTTTTGAAAATTATTTTTTACATACTTTACAAACATAGGCTTTTTGCAGTACATATTATTTAATGTATTCTCAGATACATTATTAAAATATCAATTTGCGAAAATGCTTTATTACACTTTACACAAGCATACAGTTTTTCTCAAATATGTATTTTCGTATGCCATTCAAAATTACCAATACTTGAAAACCATTTTTCAGTTTACAATAATAAGACTTTTCTCTAGTATATACATGAAGCTTTATATGTGTTTTTAAATAACCAACATAAACTAAAACTAAAACCTTTTATATATACTTCACAAACAGAATGTTTATCTCCTGTATGTATTCTAATGTGTGATCTTTATTTTTGTTTTTATTTTTTTTGTTCATTGCTTAGATGGGTGGACGAGTTCACAACCTATCTGATGCTAAGTTGTTACCAAAGCCCTTAGACATCTACAACATACATACCACCACTCATCTTGAGATATCAGTCCCAAGGTCTCAGTATAGTTAGAACAGCTGCCCCACCCTTCAAACTGAAACGCATTACTGCTTCACGACAGAAATAGGCAGGGTGGTGGTACCTACCCGTGCAGACTCACCAGAGGTCCTACCACAAGTAAACAATGTGTGAAATGTGCTTTACACACATTTCATAAGCTTAAGGTTTTTCTGTTGTATGTGTTGCCATGTGTGTTTTTATAGTACCTACTATTCATGAAAAGCTTTTTCACACACATCACAAACAAGGTTTTTAAGCATTGTGTAAATGTATATGTTTTTTTAAATACCTAATATGTGCAAAAGACTTATTACACATATCACAAACATAAGGTTTCTCTGCAGAATGTGTTGCCATATGACTTTTTAAATTACTAGTTTGTGAAAAGCTTTTTTCACACACATCACAAACATAAGGTTTCTCTCCAGTATGTGTTCTTATATGTGCTTTTAAATCACCCTTTTGGGAAAAGCCCTTTCCACACATATCACAAACATAAGGTTTAACTCTGGAATGTGTTGCCAAAATATGTTTTTTTAAATCACCCTTTAGGGCAAAGCCTTTTCCACACACATCACAAACATAAGATCTATCTCTAGTGTGAATTTTCAAATGAATTTGTAAGCCACTACAATATCGAAAAGATTTTTCACAGACTTCACAAACATAAGGTTTCTCTCCAGAATGTGTTCTCTTGTGCCTTTGTAAAGAACAACTTTGTGCAAAGCACCTCTGACACACTTCACAAATGTATGGTTTTTCCCCAGTATGTAATCTCATGTGCATTCCTAAAGTACATTTTCGTTTAAAATATTTATTACAGACTTCACAAACATAAGGTTTCTCTGCAGTATGAATTACATTGTGTTTTTTTAATTCACTTATTTTTGTAAATCGTTTTTCACACACTTCACAAACATAAGGGTTTTTAGGATGCGTTTTCATGTGCATTTTAAAGTTCTCTTTAAATACAAAACGTTTTTTACAAACTTTACAAACACGGGGTTTGCGAAATGCTTCCATTTTTGTTTATATATTTAATATAACATTGATCAGCAAATTTTACACATGAGAATGCTCAAAGTTATGTTTTTTAGGAAACCAGACAAAATTAAAAACCAGAAAGATCGGAACCCAGACAAAATTAAAAAAAAAGTACTGCCTTTATGGAGTATGTATCTTCTTGTATTTTCCGTTTTTGTTTCTTTCCAGTTACAAGCTATATTACTTTTGTTTTGATAACAATTCTGTTGACATGTCGGATCTCTCAAGTATAATAAAAGTATAATCTATGGTCGGATCACTGTCTGTGAACTGAGTTGGAACCATAGAGTTACTATTCTAACTGGAGTGCTTACTTCGTTTGACATAAAAACTAAAAATATACTTTATCTCTATGGCTTAAAGTTTATTTTTAAATAGCAAAAGATGTAAGGAAAAACGGTCTGAAAAGAGAATGATTATTAAGTGGTGGTGTCCCTCTCGCACATTTTACAAACAAAAAGCAGTGTTGCTAGCTTAG